AAAAAAAAAAAAAAAAAACCTCCAGATGAAGACTCGAAAATGCTATTTCAAAAACATTTGGGAAACAATTTTCTCCACTTTTACTTCAGGTAGTTAAAAAATATACATTTGTAAGTGATCCCTTTCTTCAATTTCAAGTATACATGTGTTATATCATTATTTACTAACTTATGTAAATATGACGTCAAACCTTAAATTCTTATTTAAATTGAGTTTTCTATAAGTTTGCCTATTTTTCTTGAATTTCACACCGAAGAATCTTCATCAAGTAAACATAACTTTCATGCTGGAAATATTTCATAACGTAGTGATTTTTAAAAATGTTAACATATCGGGGAGCCCGGGTAAGCTCAGTCGGTTAAGCTTCTGACTTCAGTTCAGGTCCTGATCTCATGGTTCGTGAGTTCGAGCCCCATGGCGGGCTCTCTGCTGTCAGTGTGGAGCCTGCTTGGGATCCTGTCCCTCTTTCCTTCCCTCTCCCACCACACTTTCTCTCTCTCAAAAATAAATAAGCATTAAAAAAACTGTAGAAACTTAAGAAAAAAAAAGAAGTTAGCTCTTTTGGGAGAGAAAAAAGCACCTTAGAAGAAACCCAAAAATTAAACGCAGAATTAACATCTGGCCCACCAACTGCACTTTGGGGTCTCTACCCAAAGAACTGAAACCGGCAGAGGACTCAATGCAGCAACACACAGGCAAGTCCACAACAGCCTCAGGACAGAAAGGGCTCCAGGGCCTACTGAGGAACTAATGATCAACAAAAGGGGGTGTACACACACCATGGAACAGCATTCGGCTATATAAAGGAAATTGTGGTACGCCCTATGCCAGATAAACTGAAGATGTGATGCTAAGTGAAATAAACCAGTCCCAAAAGGACACATGTTGTAGGATTCCTCTTATATGAGGTACCTAGTCAAAAATCAGAAGTCGGGGGGCAGCTGGGGGGCTCAGTCGTTAAGCGGCGACTTCGGCCCAGGTCATGATCTCCCAGCTGGGGAGTTGCAGCCCCACATCGGGCTCTGTCTGTGCTGACAACTCAGAGCCTGGAACCTGCTTTGAATTCTGTGTCCCTCTCTCACTTTGCCCTTTTCCCACTCACGCTCTGTCTCACTCTCTCAAGAATAGACAAACATTAAAAAATTAAAAAAAAAAAAATCAGAGGGGGAGAAAGTACAATG